TCTACACAAGAATAACCCATTTTAATATATGTTTAATCCCAATAACTAAAAAATATACTGACAATTAGTTTGACAGAATTGTCACTTATTTCAAATTTTAAAAATAATAGCAGTCGGTTGATCAAAATATGAACGCTGATTGGTGGATTTCATTTTTTTTGCAGTGTTCTCACTATCTAGAATGGATATGAAATATATTCGTTCAGTTGAAGGCAATAGCATACTTTTTCGTTTTGTAATCTGTGCGTAGATAAGCTAATATCCATGTGGGTGTAGAAAAAATACATTTCTACCACCTTTAGTGTCCCAAAATTATGAAAGAGCGATATACTGAACTAATACCCATCTGAGTTTTAGCATTTGTTGTAACTTGTGTGGTTTTAGAGAATATTGGATTATATTCTATCCGACCTTTTGGATTTCCAAAATTATCAGTTTCTTCTTTAAAGTATTGGATACACGCAGAATATCCTTCCCCTCCTCTCCATGCCAACTCATGTAAAACTATGTGAAAAAATTTACGCTGGAGTATTTTCATCCCACATTTCAATAATTCTTTTGTATACGTCACTGGTTAAGGCTGAAGCAGTCTCTTTTCTTTTTTATGTTTTGCGCTTAGCATCGCGTGCAGCTCTGGCGGTCGCAAATTCCACATCAGAAAACGAATTAAATTTTATTTTATATTTTTCGTAATAAATTTCTTGTAACTGCTTAGCAGTAGAATTCCACATCACTTTGACCACACTTTCCTTATAATCTTCAAAATTTTTCTTTTTCTTATTAAATGCGTAATCCTCCAGTATACTAGCCAGCTGTACTACACTCATACACTCATGAATATTATACAACTTTTCGTCACAAAATTCATCAAACTGTTTCTATACACTTGATTTTGATTTTCGTGTGTTATCTGCTGTTATATTTTTCCATACACTTGATGTTGATTTTCGGGTTTTATATGGTGTTATATTTTGAATTTCTTGTCTATTTACTTGGTGACTTTCTTTACTAAATCACGACATTTCGCTATACACTTATTAAACTCAACATACAGATGTTTTAAACTAGTAATTATTAAGCTTTGTGACAGAACCGGTTAAACAAAAATGACAAATCAACATATGTCAAAACAACAATACCCTGGCCAACTTGACAAGCAGTGAAATTAATTTAAAATACCACGCAAGCTTAAATTATTCCTGGACATTTTCTAAGCTCTTGTGATATTATAGGTGAAAATTACAAACCAATATTTAATTGGTTAATATTTGTAAACATTTTTATCACGTTCTATTTTTCTTTTAGTTTTATTGGTTTGTCAATTTATTTAAAAAATATTATAACGCGACATAGCTTATTTAAAAAAAAAAAAATTGGAAAATAATTCTCTATCTTCCCTTCACCTACCTCTCTAACTACTCCATATTCTCAACCCACTTAACCTTGTATCCTATTGAGGGGAGGCTCGTGACCAAAATTTTGAGGGTTCACAGTAGCAGAATGTAGATCCCGGTACAGATGTAGGTAAAAAACTGTCACTGTTTTAGAAAGGTATATTATAAACTTTCTAAAATACTGAAAGTTTTTTTTATACATCTGTACTGATATCTATATTCTTTCACTGTGAACCCCCAAAATTTTGGTTATGAGCCGCCACTGATCATAATTCAAATTTCGGATGTCTTATTTAATAATTAGTTCTGGATACCGCCCTGTGTCAGCAGTGTGGCAGCTCGACTTATTTGATGTATTATTCTTGGAAGAGAATAACTTAGATGTAAAATAATATTTCATTGAATTTCTTTTATTTCAGAAATAAAATATTTTGTAAAAACCAAAATAATAGCAGCTGATTTCTCATTGGGACCAAAAGCGGTGGAAATTGTGAAAGAAAAATTAGGAGGCCTGCCAATCAATATTCTAGGTGAGTATAGCAACAAATAATGAAGGATCCACATTTTTTTTAAGTAGGCCATGACCGACTAAGACAAAGATAAGAATCATATCCGTGATACCTCTGAATTAAATCCAAACTCATTTAATAAAGAAGAAGAATTGTGCGCTCCGACATACGTGATTTTGTCCATAGCTTACTTTAGAAACGGTTTTTGTGGATCACTTCATATAAAAAAAAATGTATAATACTTCAAAAATATACTAAACCATTACACATATTTTTCATAGATAGATAAATAGAAATTATTAAATAGTTATTTTCCTAACAAGTACGCAAAGTGGTACTCTTTCACACGCAAATATAGTAAAGTGCTTGGAAATGCTTCCGCAAAAGTACTTCTTTGAGTAAGTTTTTATGAAAATTATGTCTATAATCATTTACGGTATGTCCAGCTTAAAAATCTCTAAGCATTATAAAATTTATTTTTTTCCTTACCAAACTAATTCCGTGACTTTTAGTTTAAAATCAAAATCAAACTAAAACTATTCCAAAACACATTATTTCAAATCTTTTTATATTTCGTCGTATTGGTGAAAATGTTTAAACAAGTTTGTAACTCTTAGGTTAGGTTAAAACCACTTTTGATTTAAATATTAAGTTACTTATGTAGGTACTAAATATGATCAAATTTGGTACAAACGAAAACACGTTCTTCATTTTAAGACAGATTTAAAAACGAAAGAAAAAGAAATATACGTCGCTTAAAAATGTTTTACCAGTGAAAGAGCTATATGTATTTTCACCTAGCTTCTTTTACAGTTTGTAGGATTTTAAGGTTATAATTACAAAATCGTTTATATCTCTTCACCGCTGTATTTTTCAGAGGTGTTTTATTTATATGATATAATTCACTCATTTTGGCTAAAAATGTAGTTTAGCTCTTTTTACCACCAATACGATTTGTTTCTACATAAATCTTATGAAGTGAAAGCTTTTTAGAAATTGCACTGAACCATAAAGCGACTGTGACCTTAAAAACCAAAAAGACGTGATTGATTGAATTATTGAATTATTCAATCATGAAGTCTTTCGGAACAGTAAAATAAGAATTTCCGATACAGAAAAAATATACAAATTGCAACTGAACCAGAACCATCTGTTTCCTAAGTATTAAACCTCCGTTGTGTATTTAGTATAATGTTTTAATTTTTAGAAGGTTTGGATAAAAATTACATTAGGCATTCCAAACAAATTAATTGCCAGTGGAAAGGTTTGGTATATCTAATTATTGCGACATACAATATGAATATCTGCTTATACTTGCAAAATTCAAAGTAAATGCTTTAAGGGCTATAAATAAAATTATAAGTAAATCCATTTGCTTAAAAGAAGGAAGCAAATGCTCACGAAATAAAAGGATTTACTTCAAACGTATGAATAAAGTCAACCATTTGCTTACAACTGCAAGCATTTACTTGCGGAAAAGTAATGCTGCTGTTCAGTATCATCAGAGCTGTTTTGCGAATTAAATATGGAACGGCCTTTCTCTGACTTTACACGCTTTTGCGGTTGCAAGTAAAAATGGCTGAAATGTTAAATATTCGAAATGTAAACACCACAACAATGGCGTACGCCGCAAACTAGTGATTTTAATAGCATGTTCCGGTTTCAACAGGAAAATGTGGTGGTGCATTATTATCTGTCCAGAGAATGAAAGTTTGTTTGAGATATTTGGCAAATCCAGGTTTTTAAAGCGGAATTGAGCAGTCCACAGTGCGAATGGTGGTAACAAAAATAATTTAACAGGCCAGTCTTTGGATTCGGTTTCCTAAAAGTCACCGTGTGGGCAGGTCAGTTTAGATTTCCGGCTGCTATTGAAGCACTGGAGCGTTCACACGTGAAGATAGAGAAACTTAAAGCACACGGAACAACTACATAAACAGCAAAGGAGAAGCAACTTTGAACGTGCAAGCTACGTGTAATGCAAATTACATATTCATCAGCGTGGATGTGAGCTGGCCTGGTTCTGTATATGACAGCCGAATCTGGAAAAATTACGAAGTAAAAGAAGTGATGCGAGATACAGAAAACACGGTTCTCATTGCTGATAAGGGATATGGAATTGAGCCGTGGCTTATAACTACTTTTCAAGAACTTCTCGACACAGACGCCAAAAAGGCGTACATTAAACTATTGTCAAAGGAAAGGGTAGTAATGGAGCAGTGTTTTGGACAGCTGAAACATTGTTGTCGCGTGACATTGGCTAACTAATGTCCCCGATATAACTGTAGCTTTTATAATGCATAACATTGCTCAGGCCTTGCAGGATCCAGATTTAAAAGGCAATAATGAAGTGGAAGAAGTCATTTCTGGTGATGATGGCGATGAGGAAGAGCTAGTATAGCTAGTATAATTCAAAATTATTACGCAAAACTCTGATGTATGTGTTTGTAATAAATGTTTATTGATTGTAAACATAAGTAATAAGAATACAATATAAACTAATATACTTTCTCTAATGGTCTCTTTTCCAGTTCTCCTACTAAGCAATTTTCACGGTTAGTCACAATAGAAAAACCGCCAGTGTTTTTAACCGGCTAAATCTTCATATGTTCGCACATGTACGTCCATGTTCGTGTACTATTTTCCTCATATTACTCTTTTTGGACTCGGGTAGTATGTAGCTGCTCTAGCAAAATTAACCGTCGCAGCTCTTTTCAGTTTCCTTTATTTCGCCTGGTAGCGCAGTTGTTGCTATTTAAGACAATAATATTAAATATTTTAAATTGACAAGCTTGGCGACTAATATTTCGAATAAAAATAGCGTCCAAGTTCCAAGGCTATGTCGCTACCCCCGATATATGAGACCTTCCCATTAGGAGCTATTGTTTGACAGGTCATTTAAATATCTAATTGTTAGACAAAAAAGAACAAAAATAATCTTTTCGAACATTAGAAATAATTTACTTAATAAATAATCTTGTCTCATTTAGATTAGATCTCACTAGCTACAGGAAATACGTCTAATAAATTGAGATTAAATTAGCAAACCCAGAATACTTGCCTAACCCAATATATTTAAATTGTATATTTGATTTTTCAGTGAACAACGTAGGCAAACAATACGAGTACCCCATGTACTTATCAGAAGTACCCGAAAAAGAACTGTTCGATATTATAAACATCAACGTATGTGCCGTAACTATGATGTGTCGTACGTTTATCGAAGATATGAAAACAAGAGGTCGAGGAGCTATAGTGAATGTGTCTTCTGGATCTGAACTGCAACCATTGCCATTAATGACGGTATACGCAGCAACCAAAGTGAGTTTTATCAAAATATATTTATACTTAATAATTTTTATTAAATGCAAATTATTCCTATACAGTTTAAGAAGTCCATCCTTTCTAGAAAACAATAAATTTTCCTACAAACTGTCAAATAGTTTAGTATTAGCAATAGAGATTATTTATAAATATAAAAAAGTCCTTAAGGCTGTTCTACCGCTTTCCTTTCGGTGTTTATGTAAAGACAATTGTACATGTAATAATTCTTTCTCCGTTCAGCCTAATGGACGCCTATCTTTCTCGGTATTCATCTCTACCTGAAACGCGGGCTGGCTAAATGTGTCGGTATATTGTAACTATTATGTTGATAGTAATTTCTTTGCGGAGAATATTTTTATTTATTACTTCGACGATGGATTCGAAAGTTTTCTTTCTTCATCTAGTGGAATTATTTTTTAAATAAATGATTAACTACATTTAAATTGAGTTTATTTAAATTCTAAGGTAAAATAGTAAAGAATTTTTATACATATAATTGATCGTAAATAAACATTATTGTTATTATTACTAATATTCGATAATATACACTTAGTATTCGCGCGAAAGCTTTGGATGGCTTTATTTATGGTTTATTTAAAGTAAGAAACTGATTTTTGGAAAGTGCTTTAATATGGTCATGGGGACCTTAAAGTATACACTGAAATTAAAAATTATTCGACCTATCAAATAAAAATGAATGCATCTTAATTTCTAATGATCACAATTTCAAGAATGTTTATCTTTTCCCTTGCAATAAACACAAAAAAATAAAAAGTGTTTCTCCTTTAATAAAAGTAGAGATGTAAAGACTTTTTGAACAATATTGTAAACAAGGTCTATGAAAGTGAAATACAAAAGTAGCATATAACAGAAAAATGTATGTACTTATTTAAGCTAATAAATGAGACAAAAAAAAATATCCTGCCATTTTGAGAAATAAGTCATTTCGGTTAAAGTTTACAGAAGTAGAAAAAAGAAATCAAATTGTAGAAACTTATTTGGGACCTAAAATAAAAACTTATTCACACAAAAATGATATTTTATTGCTTGAATATTACTTATTAGTTGAACTAAGTAGCTACGTTTAAAAAACTAAAAAAAAAATATTTAAAACTAAACAAAATTTTACATCTGTTAGTGAAAGTAGTAGGGCTCAGTAGCCAAGAAATAGTCCTAGGAGCATTTCTTGACATAGAAGAAGCTTTTGATAATACTTCCTTTAAATCAATGGTAGCTGCCGCCCGCAAAGATGGAATAGAAGACACCATCTGTTGGTGGATAGAAGACATATTATGCGGACGGTAAGTACTGGCACAAATGTTCAGTGAAACCATGCAGGTGAATATCCACAGGGGATGCCCACAGGGTGGAGTCCTTTCTCCTCTGCTGTGGAACCTCGTGGCACTAAACAATCAAGGGCTGTACGCCCAAGGATATCCGAGGGAAACACCAAACCACAGTCTTTGAATTCATGTAAAGAGCTCTTAGGCTGACAGAAATGTGGTGCGTTAGGGAAAACCTCTTGGTAAACCCTGACAAGGCACAACTCATAACCTTTACTCGGAAAACAAGATTGGAGGTTTTAGAAACTCCGACTCTGTTTGGAGGAAGGCTAAACAAAACGAACCAAGTAAAATATCTGGGTCTAATCCTAGATAGCAAACTTACTTGGAACCAACACTTACAAAAGATGACCAACAAATGTAAAATGTCTCTCATTTTAGAGAGACGGGCATTTGGAAAAACATGGAGATTAAAACCAAAAATGGTCCACTGGCTATATTCGGCAATAACAAGACCCATGATAACTTTTAAAATTTTAGGAATGCCTGCTAAAATAGTGATAACATACAAATTTCCTGGAAACAGGAACCTCCCACACAGTGTTCCAGGCTAAACTAATAACCATACAACACTGTGCAAGAGAAATATTAAATTATCAAGCAAAACTATTGCCATATACTCTGATAGCTAAGCAGCTCTAAAGGCAATTCTCTAACCAGAAATAAAATCACAATGGGTGAAAGACAACCTAGAAGACCTAGCAGAGCTAAGTAGTCAGAACAAGGGGCCATGTTACGAGCGATATCAGGGCAACAAAATGGCCGACGAACTAGACCGAGAAGGATCAGATGAGGCCACGAAAGGTCCCTTTTGTGGAGTTACTAAGGCGTTCATCAAAAAAGGATGCAAAAAGAGAAATAGTGGAACAACTAGTTAAGATTGAGACAGGCCAAACAGTTCAAGGAACTATCTGCCAAGTTCATGAAAAACCTACCGGATCAAACACGTCAAATCATTGGGATAACAGTAGGTCTTTTTACCAGACAATGTCGCCTAAGAAATACATGAGTGTCATCAATTTATCAAAAGATGCAACATTGTTCAGGTTCTGTGAAGAAGAAGAAAAAACATTAATCTACTGTCAAAGCTACTAAGTCTAATAAAAAAGGCTAAGTTAGACGACATACTCCAAAAATCGAAGTCCCACAATAGATCTGAAAAGGTCGCGGTGGACAACGACAACTAATGTCCAACTCCTTTCAAATCTAATCTATTATTGTAGCAAGTGTTTTACAGAAAAATACCATTTATTGTACAGCGTGGCAACGGTGTAAAGCAGAAATCGTAGTTATACGAGCTGGTTTATTCTTAAAAATGGTATGCTTGCACAAACCATCCCCTTTTAATTTTGTAGTCATCTCGCTCTTTATAATGCGTCAGCTGCTGCGACATATCTGCTTACCTAACATAAAAAACGAACTAGATACTTGCAGGTAAATAGGAGCTTAATTATGAATGAATGGATTAGTCTAGAAGTTTTTTGTGGTTGAATCCAATTTATAAACAAGTGTCCATTTAGTTTATTTCACATTTTTAATTAAATGAAAAACTAATAAATAAAATTAAGAAAATTATTTAAACCATTGAATGAAAAATTAATCCCCTATCAAATAAGCTATCGCTGGACCCCTTTTGCAATTAATAATTTTAGGGAGTAGCTATTATGCGCAAGAGGTTGAAATTAGTGTAAACTGAGTATTTTCTCGAATATTCTACTAGATAAGTTAGTAGGGGAGTTACACTTTACGGTCTGTATGGTAGGTGTTCTAATAATAATAATTATAGTAATAATAGTAATGATAGTATTATTAATTTAACGAATTCATCCCTTTTTAACGTATGTTTTTAATAAAAGACATGAATTGTAAGAATTTTACCTGGGGGTCTACTTTCAAACTCGAGAGAATTCATTTCTCTCAAGAGAAATGTCATATGTCGACGTAAAACAGCATTTTTAGGGCCAGTGTGAACTCACTGACTGTTTCTCTTGGTTTATTTAGAGATAATTAAAATTCTCCTAAGAATTTTAATCCTCGACGTCTTTAAAAACAGCGTTTCCACATTGACAAATGACACCTCTGATGAGAATCTTGAGAGAAATGAGTGCTCCCATACTTTGAAAATAGCCCCCCTGAGGGACGACATGGCCCCTTTGGATCCCTCCCCGGAGCCACCTTTGGTTGGTTGTGTGCTACTTTTGTATCGCTTTCAGTCGTGCACTAACCGCAACAGTATATACTTATTTGTATATTGGGTTGCATAAACACTAGTAAACACTTTTAATTTTATTCTAGAAACTATTTTTTTAGAATTTCATTTCTTCTCGTCTAAAGCGAGAACTTTAAATAAATGCATTGATTTAAATAATCAATTTATAGTTTATTTTAAAACCTTATGTCAAATAAACAGATATGTGTAAAATCAATCATGGTCATGTTATTTTTGTACATTTTAGGCATACATTAAAAGCTTCACAGCAGCTCTAAGATATGAATATAGTCAATCGGGTATTACGATCCAACACTTAGCACCATTTTTTGTTGACACTAAAATGAACGCGTTTAGCAAGAAACTCCAGAGGAATAACTTTTTTATACCTGATGCGGAAGAATACGCCAGGTATGCTGTAATGACGTTAGGAAAAATGGACGAGTCGTCTGGATATTGGACACATGGAATACAGGTAATATTGTTAAATTAAACTACATAATACGTAATATACCAATCCTCTTGTGCCCGTTTAATAAGGGAAACTTCGTCCAGGGTTACCAGGTTTTTGAAAGAGATGACGGACATACAGGGGATTTTAGGGGAAATAGGGGGAAGTAAAAACAACTCAGTCTATTTATACTCTTTTAATCAAAATTACTTATTTTGTAAGAAATCCTTACCTAATTTTGGTAAAGAAACGCTGAGGTGATTTTACAAATAATAAGGTGAAAATGTAAAGTTAGAAAATCGAGCAATGGCAAATGGAAATCCAAAGTCAGAAACATTTTCTCCTTATTATTTGAGACACCTCAGTCTATCTTTACCAAAAAATAGGTACGGATTTTTTTACAAAATAAGTAATTTTGATTAAAAAAATGAAAATAGACAGAGTTGTTTTTACTTCCCACTATTTCCCCTAAAATTCCCTGTCAGTCCGTCAACTCTTTCAAAAATCTGGTAACCCTGACTTCGTCCGTATGGACAAGGTTGTGCGGCACGACGGTACCAGTGAGCAAAGGCGCCGTTTAAAAACGTTCTTTGAAAATATACACCAAAAATGGGGGTTTTACTATTCCTTTCCCAAGAGCAGACAAAATCAATTGCGAAACCTTAACAAAAGCGGACTTAAGGCTGTAATAGGACTTTTTACAAGTTACAGCGGCCTTAGAAGACACCTAAATCTCTTATGGATATTTGATAACTTCCTATGTAGAATATGTGAAGAGGAGGACGAAACTCCAATTCACATAATATACCATTGCCGGAACCTTAATTGAAAACGGCAATGACACTTCGGGGTACAAAATTCGGAATCTGAAGAATTCGCGAAAGCACTTATCAAAAATATATTTTTGAATTCATTAAGAATATTAGTCTGTAGAAAGTGTGAGGGGTACAATAAGCCTAGAATTTCAGTACGAGTGGGATTTAAAACAACATCCTAATTCAAATTCAGATAGATACCTACGTAATATAATTTTTCCTACGACCACTTAGGAAAGTGACACATATCACACTATATAGTCCTATGGAAAGTGCCCTATATCATAAGCGTATGAATAAGAATTTACTTTCCATCCGTGTACGAATATGCTACTTTCCGCAGCAGCTGTCACAAAATGTCAAACACATCATTTCTATTTTGATCTATGTAATGTCCATATTAATACTAAAATCGATATGATTGTTAAATTATTGAAATTGTTGTAAATTAGATCTTAGATATTTATCTTTAACAATTATTATTAAAATAGTTTTAAAATAACTAAGATATGTTTGCTTTTTATTCTGGTTAAACAAATGACCGATTAGATCATTCAATTAACGCAAGGCTATTAGCTCAGATGGTTAGAGCGTCAAACTTATCAACTTTGCAATTTGAGACCTGGCGAGCGTCCGCGTTCAAATCCTGGCGGGGCCATAATTTTTTTTTGTTTTTTTTTATTTTTGTTTTTTGTTTAGAAAATATGAAAATTGAATAAATACGATTATTGTTGATTATTTTTTAAATACGTTTTAATTATTATAATAATAACCTGGTTTTATATTTTTTGATGAAATTATTTTGTGGTCGTAGGAAAAATATTGTACATCACTTGTGTGAAAAGCGATTTTCCACACTCGTGTGATAGTCGCACTCGGCTTGTACGACAATATTTCCTACTCGTGTGAAAAATGTCACTTTCCACACTCGTAATGTAATATACTATTTCATATCTTCGTTGATACTGCAAAATGTCGTATGTAAAAAATATCTACTTTTCAGTAAAACAAAAACATGATATATTTTTTCACATATATGACCTTTTAACTAAATCACATTAAACGCCTTGCTTTTGGTTCGCGACATACGAGATTTTGTAGTATTAAGAGCCGGTAAATTTGAATTATGAATTTGCATTATTATAAATGTTCATTTTTGACATATGACTGATAGAGGTATCAGCGACGATGATATTTTACAACTTATTTTTTAACTTAAAATAATATGATTGAAATATTAACAAGAGGTATATGTAACACGTGGAGGGTGGGTTACCCTCCACGGCACTTAGGCCTCACTAGGTCCATTGTTTATCTTCCTAAATTTATAGGCACTTCCTAGCTCCAGAGCCAGCCTACAGATTTAATGTAGTTGACAACGTCGCCAAGAGGTGCTTCTCTTATATCGTTCGGTGTTAGCCGATACTCGCCGAACGCAAATCTTCTAATAAATGAGAGCATCTGGCAATCGTAGAGGATATGCTCGATATTCTCATCTTCTTATTCGTCCTGCAGAGTGTAGATTATGACAGCGTCATGATATGGAGATGCTTTCGTACTTCGCAATGATCAGTCAGAATGCCTGTGATCAGGCGCAGATTATGTCTAGTCATAGTCAATTGTCATTTGTTTGTTGAGGTTTTATCAGAATAATTTAAAAGCTCCCTGGCAACTCTGCAGTTTTTTGTTTTATATCTTTCCTTCAATTTTACAAGGGAATGTTCTTTAATTTGGTGTATCACTACCGATGTTGTCAGCCCAATAGAAGGGCCAGGTCCAAAAAGTATTTGGCTGCCTTCTTGGGTAGTGACTCCGCAAGACGGTTACATTTCGATACGGCGTGACTTTGGTCCATCTTAAGGTGAATGCATTGTTCATGGATACTTCGGCCAACACTTCGTGACATTCTAGTACTAACCCTGAGTAAATTCGTGGTCTGTTCAGAGTGAGTAGTGCTTCTCTGTTATTTGTATAGATGAGCATGTTTCTTCCAGTGATATCGTTTCTGATAACTTCTTTGCTATGAGGATCTCAGTGAGCTCGGTTTGAACTACACTTGCACTATTGCCCACAACCCATATTTAAGTTTAATTATCTGAAGTTTATTTCATATCCTGAATCTTCATTTATTTTAGAACCGTCGGTGTAGATATGAATCGTACCTGCCACTTCCAGCTCTTCTACAGTATCGGCTATCGAACGCCTTCCAATATTCCATGGCACAAGTGCGTGTGAAAACTACACAGAATCAGCATTAGAGGAAGCAGGAAACGATTAATACCAGCGATGCCAGTTCATATGGCCTGGTCAACGTTACAACATGGGTAACGCCGATATTTTTCGTCTCCTGCTCGCTCCAGTTCCAACTCTTTGCAGTTTTCACACGCACTTGTGCACCACGTATTAGAAGACATTTAGTGGCGGACACTGTATTATGTTCAATTAATTTTTGTAAACAGCCCGAAGAAGAAGAAGAAGAAGAAGAAGAAGTTTCTAATAAAAATCGAAACTAAAGTGACGTAAACGGAAGAGAACAGCTGAAGTTTTGTTTTCTAAACTAAAATGAATATAATATTAGTTATTTAACGATCTAGAATTAAATTAAAAAGCAAACTAGCATTGCTATAGAATATCTATTTTTTTTGTTTTTTTTTTTTTTTAGTCAAAAAAATATTAAAATTAATAAATTGACCAGCTAGCACAGATACGTGATTTTCACGTGAAATACACGTCACATTTTATGTCGAAATCACCAATTTATGACGTGCTGGTGACGTGATTGACGGGAATATATCACAGATCAAAGACGTCATACAGCGACGTGATAAATACGTCACCAGATAACTTGTTTAGATGTCAAAAAAAAAACACCATAATACTCATTTAAAAATATTTAATTTGTAAGAAACTTAATTATTTAAATAAAATGTGCGCCAAAAAATAGAGTTAGCAATGACTGAGAAAGACAGAAATTGTTTTATATCATTAAGCTTTCACAAAAGTGATATATTTGATGGTTCACAACCTATTATTATACGCAAAACAAGAGAAATAAAATCAGATCTGCCAAGAGAAAGCAATGAAAAACCTAAATATGCTCCTGGCTAAAGAGTAGGTACTAGATATTTCTAGCTAACACAAAATTTAATTTTTCTTTATAGGTCAAAAACCTAATTTTTAATAACAATTTTATGATGCTAATTTTTAAAGTGATGTAAATTTGTGAATTTTTTTTATAATTAATGAAATGAAGAAATGTTATTATTTTTACAAGGTATATATTGGTAAGAGAAAAAGTTATTTTAGTCCCAAGCTCTTCTGATGGTAAAGGTGAGATTTTTAATAATTGTGAAAAACAATAATTGACATTTGGAGAAGAAAATGTTCGGAATAAAAGAAATGTACTTATAACATTGTCACAAAAGTATGACTTTTACTCATAATAAAAAATAAGTTTTGCTAGACAAAGCAGTACTTACCAATAGGTTGAAAATATTCCTCTTAATGGCTTTCTTTTAGGAGGAAGAGATTATACCTCATCATCACTTGTTATATCCGATGTTATAAGAACATTTGTTGTTTTTTGGCTAGCTATTTGGTAGTTCTCTAAAACGGATTATTAATTTTATACACTATACTTTTTTAAATAAATAAAATGGCTCCCAGAGATTGTTTACGAAATACTATAACTATAATAGGTCTCCGTAACCAACAAAAATTCAAAAAATATAATATCAAGGTATATAATGCAAAATTATTTCATAAAACGATGTAATTAAAACCGCAGTACATAAAGGGTAAGGTTTTAGTAATAATACGTAGTTTGTCTAAAAGTGAGTTTAGTCAGCCTGATTTAGTTTTAACACAAAAGTTATCAATTTATTTCAATGTAACTGTTTATACAGAATAACATAAGCATCAACATTAACATAGTAAATATAAATAAAAATCAATTGAATGCTTAAATTAATGTCGAAAATACAATTATTACAGGTGTGAGTTTAAAAAGTGAGGTTAAGCTATTGTCCTAACTTTAAACTTTCGAACTTCTAAATTTCTTTTTTCACAAATTTTTATTAATATTTGTGAGATAGCAGAGCAATTTTAAAAGCACCTACCACCCATCTTTTCCCATTTTTAAAATTTGTCAAATCTTGGGCATCTGTATATTTAAATTATCTTTATGAACGGTTTTGTTTTAAAATCCTT